TCTACGACTTATTGCTTATTTTTGAGGAGGGTAACGACTATTTTCTATTGAAATTTTCAGATAATTTAGATCTGATCTCCGACCAGATTCTCTGAAACTTTCGAGGAAAAATGTTCCCAGATTTCCTTGAAAATCAATTTTTTACCTTAAGGATTTTGGCAACGCCTGAAGGCTCACGCGGCGTTCTTCTTTAGCACGGCAGTGTAAGCAGTAAAGCTTCCTACTGAAGTTTTTAAGAGCATCTGAGGCCCTTTACGTGGTTACGCTTTCCGCGAATAGAAGGGTTGTTGGATTACTGAATGCCTTGATATCAGTGGCGTGGCGTGCTTTGCGATATATCAATTGTTATGCCATTTAAACCTATGGAAAAGGATCGATAAACAGGGTGTTCGCAGCGAACACCTTCATAATCGATTCTTTACCATAGGTTTAAATGGCATAACAATCGATATATCGCAATTCAGGCCACGCCATTGCTTGATATTAATCAGTCCATCTCGACTCGTTGAGGATACTGAGTGGAAAAAGGAGCCAATACTATGAGATTCAGTTTAACCGGCGACTAATGTCCACGTACTCGAGCGTCGCGACGCCCAAGCAGCTGTTGGGCGGCGCAGTCCCAGTGCCGGACGCTGGACCGTGGGTCTCCGGGTGCGGCGTGCGGGGTTCGTGAGAATAAACGCGAGCACGCTTCTGACCAGTGCGGGTGGCGAGGGGGTGAGGGTTGAGGGGGGGGGGATTGACTCAGATTTAATGGAGTTATGTAACCCGCACGGCGCGGCCGCGGCCGGACCAGCCGACGACGGACGGACGCTGTGTCAAGCGACGCGGCTGCCCCCGTGTATAGTGAAGGGACTCGTAGTAAACAATGGTAGTAGCGTTGCCCATTTGGACGTATCTCTGCCGAACGGAACTATGTGCATTGAGACGTGAGCCCTGTTATGCATATATTCTTAAGGGCCTCAGGGCTCATGTCTTAATGCACATGGTTCCGTTTGGCAGCAATACGTCCATTTGATGTCCATTATAGGTGTTACGGGAGAACACCGTATGAGCCTTCAGACGTTGTCATTTTTACCTCCATGAAAAACGAGTTTCTGGAGAGAGTTGTGAATATTTTTCTTCACACTGAAAAAAAAAAAAAAAAAAAAAAAAAAAAAAAAAAAAAAAACTCTGCTGTGGAAGCCGTGCTTACGTGCTGTATAGGCATACCGTCCGCGATCTGGCCTCAGAGGCTGAAAGCTCTAGGCGTAGTATCCGGAGCAGTCGAAGCTACGGCTCCAGCCCCCGAACTTACAGTCTTCTCTAACCGTCCCTTAATAATTTAATCCAAAGGGTCTCCGTGAGGCAAAGAACGACCATGATAACGACCTTAAGACTTACCAACTCTTGATTTGATAAAAATAATTAAGGGCACGATGACTAAAAACAATTCGGACCCATCTCTATCTTCACTCCTTGTTTCTGACGAAGTGAGCAAAGCTGAAGGCTCACTTCCGTACGTGCGGTGCCATTATATCGCCGTCTACCCGACAAAAGGACGTAACCACACTCTGCAATGAACCCTGTCCTCCAGACAACTCAATGTTTTTTGGGGCTCATCTTAATGTGTAGTTACGCCCTTTATGTCATCCAAGCGACGATATCCTGAATAACAAATCCTTCCTAGTCCAGTATGCAGAGGCATACCTTGTTTACGAGTCTCTTTCATTTCGCTTTGTTAACAGAGACCCGAGCGTCATGTCATTCTCCTGCATCATGCTGCCGTGCTAAGGAAGAACGCCGTATGATCATTTGAGAGTTGCCAAATTTCCCTCGCAAAAATGTTTATTTTTGAGGAAAGTTATGAATATTTTTCCGTAAAATTTTCAGAATCTTAAGGTGAAATTGCAAACAAAATTACCTGAAAAATTGAGAGGAAAATTTTCATAAGTTTACCAGGAATTTGGCGTTTTATCAAAGGAAATTTGGCAACGCCTGAAGGTTCATACGACGTTTTTCCTTAGCATGGCAGCATGCAAGGGATTAACGTCGTCGACGTGGGCTCACTGAAAGCGCACCGATTGAGAGCGAACGTTTTATGTGAACGTTGAACGTTCTAACGAACTCATAACGTCACGCACCCGCACACCTTCGCGATAGACCTACGCGTTCGCACGCACGGGAGTTCGGACGACGTCGACTGAATATTTCATCGTCCATTACCCGCTTCGGCTGTGCGGTAAAACGGCGTACAAATGTTGGGTCAACTAACTGGTGCAGTAACATTGTCTCTCGGCTTAGATGAAAGCTTTCGTCGTCGGTTGTTGCTAGTAGAGTAACAGTGGCGTGGTGTGAATTGCGATGTATCGATTGTTATGCCATTTAAACCTATGGTAAAGAATCGATTATTAAGGTGTTCGCTGCGAACACTCTGTTCATCGATCCTTTTCCGTAGGTTTAAATGGCATAACAATCGATACATCGCAAAGCATGCCACGCCACTGTACAACGTGGGGAGAGTGCGGTTGTTTGTGTAACTCTGAGGTTAGGTTATGGATATTTTAGGACCCAGAAGGGCAGTCAATCTGTAAAATCAAATTATTTAAAATTAACTATCATTACAATTATTGTTACGACCTGTCGTGTGTAAAGCACGTATTTGACCTAGTTTTTGCATATATTTATTCATTTTTACGGATAGAGGCTCGTTGAAGAACACATTAGGTCATCTTGGTTTGATCTTGAAATCTGAAAATTGGCAGTAACATTTTTCATGTTAAAAAGTTGGCTGACCTTTTGGGCCGTAAGAGCTCCATATTTCGACGTGTATGTCTCTCCTTATGTTGGTACTCTAACTGCCAGTCTCGTGATTTGGAGGTGATCTGGACCACATTTTGCAAGAGCGAATCAAAATACTCCTTTGATTCTGCTACTCTTGTTTTCTTGTATGGAAAACCTAAAAATTTAAACGTTGTTGGTGCAGAACAAAAATGCCCTTCTTTTTTGAAAACTGTATACGTCTCATTTCGCCTGTTTGTGCATACTAGAAATGCCTGGTGGCGCATACTAGGAATGCCTGGCGAGTCTTTATACAGGGTGTCCCAAAAGTCCCCTCCACCCCCTCTGAAATTTTACCTAATTAATATTTTGAAACGAAACTTTGGGGATGTTCATCGATCAATGTTAGCTACTTTTGGGGCCCCCCAACATTTTCGGGCCCCCCCGTGGGGAGGGGCTGCGGACCCCAACTTTTTTTTTTCAAATGGCAACCCCTATCTTGTGATACTTCATTCGAAAGAGCATAAAAAACTAAGAATTTTGGCGCAAACCGCAGATCACTATCGTAATTTTGGACCGAGTTATGATAGGTCAAAGGTCAAATTTGACCTATTTTCAAAAAATCATAACTCCGGTTCAAATTATCGTAATGAAAAAAATAAAACGGGGAAATTTACCAAATTGTAAGCAATTTTAAGTAAAAATCACAGAAATCACTTCAAACTAATTTTAAGGGGGGTTTCGGACCCCCAAATACGTCAATTCAAAGGTCATTCAATTTTCCCGCGAAATAAGCCCATTTTCCCCAGATTTGCACCCATATTAGCTCAGTAAGGTCAAAATCAGTTCAAAATTACGTTGGCAAGTCCCCAAATTTCGGGAAAGGTTAAAAAAAAATTTAAACGGTCAAATTTAATCACCTTTAATTTCGTTTTTTTTTAACTTTTCCCTAAATTTGGGGACTTGCCAACGTAATGTTGAACTGATTTTGACCTTACTGAGCTAATATGGGTGCAAATCTGGGGAAAATTGAATGACCTTTGAATTGACGTATTTGGGGGTCCGAAACCCCCCTTAAAATTAGTTTGAAGTGATTTCTGTGATTTTTACTTAAAAGTGCTTACAATTTGGTAAATTTCTCCGTTTTATTTTTTTCATTACGATAATTTGAACCGGAGTTATGATTTTTTGAAAATAGGTCAAATTTGACCTTTGACCTATCATAACTCGGTCNACCTTACTGAGCTAATATGGGTGCAAATCTGGGGAAAATTGGCTTATTTCGCGGGAAAATTGAATGACCTTTGAATTGACGTATTTGGGGGTCCGAAACCCCCCTTAAAATTAGTTTGAAGTGATTTCTGTGATTTTCCGCAGCCCCTCCCCACGGGGGGGCCCGAAAATGTTGGGGGGCCCCAAAAGTAGCTAACATTGATCGATGAACGTCCCCAAAGTTTCGTTTCAAAATATTAATTAGGTAAAATTTTAGAGGGGGTGGAAGGGACTTTTGGGACACCCTGTATGTGACTTGCAATGATATCGATAAAGGTGTTTAACGAGTTATCATAGTACTCTCAGAGAATCAGATGTATCGAAGTTTGATCAAGAATAACTCTTTCCATGAGAATCAACAATTATCTAACAGTTACTGGGCGAGCGAATACCTTGGAATACTTGCGTTGAGAATTTTCGAAACGTAATATAAGGAAAACTTGCAATTCGCACGTTAAAGATTATCCGCAACGCATGTCCATTACAAGGATTAATGCATTCTGGAAAACAGTCGTTCTTTTTTTCTTTTTACCTCTCCTCCTCTATGAAATTGCCCACGCAATAACTCAAATGCATAGAGCTCTTCCTCTACCTTATGCAAGCTAATACTATAGACGGATAAATATTATAGGTGCGAGATTATAATCGTTGACATAGTCTAAGAATTAACATTTTTTCTGCCTCTTTTAATTATTGACGGACCTCAATAGAATACTGATTGACATACATGCATTGATAGGCTGTTTTAGGTACTTTTAGTCTTCCTTTCTCACTGAACACTATGTTGATTCAGTAAAGGTACTGCATTATTATACTTTCGATACAACATCTAAAAATCCTTGCCATAAACCCAAGTATTTAAAATCACATGCGCTATTAGATGTTCCAAAGTAAACCAGCAATATACGTCGAACAAATATTTTATTTTGACGTCATAATCCATGAAGCATTTTGTAACCTGGTTTTAGAAAAGTGAACTTCAACAAAGCTGCACATACTTTTAATGCAGCAACGTCCAAAAAATTCTAAGAATAATGAAGTGCAAGAGTGCGAAACTGAAGTGTGTTACTCCAAGGATTTAGTTTCGATACAATACTGAATTCGCCTTCTGTGAACTTCCGCGTGATCTTTTGAGAAGCGAACGGAGGCGCAATGTTGAACTTTGAACTTTGACGCTTATACCAAACTTGGAAGTATCCAATCGAAGTGGTCCGCGCAACGGGGATTGCGTCTGTGTAATTCATCTGATTATGCGCTCCTTTAAGGAAACGAGTTCATCTCCATGATTCAAAATAATCTTCTCATTCTCATTCTGTCCGCAATTTCAACCTTTCTTGCGGTAAGTAATGCATCATGCGTATATTTACTACATTTTCGTACAGATTTTTCTCCTAGGTAAAAACATATTCCATTATATCCATATACCTCGGAAACTAGGCAGCTGAAGTTGAGATTCTCAGTAATGGTGCAAAAGTTCGGAAAAACTGTCAAAAGCTCGGAACAGTATATTTGAACTTTCGTCAGTTTTGCCGAATGTTGTCACTCGGGACCGCAAATCTCAGCACCAGCCTCCAAGTTTTTTGTGATGGTCATCCGATTATGATAAAGCAGAGAATATTTTCACCATGCGCTACCAAAATTGAATATTCCTCTCTTAGAGTTGCACAATTGTATCTAAATTGGAGGAGAGGAAGGAGCTAGGCGATTGGTGTAGATTCCTGCATTAATAAGTCGAATGATACAGTCCTCATTAAGATGGTATGATCGGTATTTTTCATTTGAAAGCTGCTTTATAGATGAGGAGGCTTTCAAATCAGTGCTACGTTCTAATACCATGCAATTTTAGTAAAGCGCGAGTCTACGTGTGCAAAATATAATAAATACCAAGCAAGAGTTATGCCACTGGTTTAAAGTCGTTGCAAATCTAATTTGGCTTAATAAAACGAAAATCTGTGTTGCCAATTACTAGTGCTTGTATCCTAAATCCAAGCATCTAAATTTGAAATAACTGAAATGCCGCTAAAGAGATGAAGAAACCGTTTTATGCATCGTGCGCTTAAGTTGCGGGTTTCTATGTCATTTTTTTTTTAAAACTATATCATGAAATAACAAAATTGTGCTCAAAAATGCGATAAGTGTACGTCCAAACATTTGTGTTATACCGATTATGTCTGGATTAAAATTTTAGACATTTTTTTCGGTGATAATCATGACACTATCTACTTATTGTTAGTGTCGAGTTAAACCATAAAATGTTCACTTTTGAAAATCTACGATATTTCTTGATGAATAAAATCTGAAATCTTTAAAAAACAACATTTAAAAATATGTTCATAGAAACTTTTTAACTATGGTTGCAACGAATCCTCCCACAAGCATTCATTTAATCTCCCATGTGGCAACGCTGGAGGTAATTGACCGGTAACTCCGAAAATTTATGTTGAGGGGTCAATTAAACGATCTGCGCACGCGCGCATGATTCACAGAACCGGCACGTCAATCACAGGATACCCATGCCAATAAAATTCCCGCCTGCAATTAACACCAGATCATTGAGTCTAGGCGAAGTAGTTATGCAAAACGGGGCCTTATCCTTCTACGACTAAACTTTCAGTTCAGGACGGAGCTTCAGGCGTTTTTCCAGGGATTTTTTTCAAAACACCAGAATTAAATGGAAATGAAAGAAATTTAAGATGAAATTTGGATAAACTTCGTTCATCTATGAAAATTTTGGTTGTGGTTGTCAATCTTCTAGCTACATGTAAAATGCTCTGCTTAGTAATGGCGGCCTCTAATTTAAATGCTTCGGCGTTTACGTAAAACGAATAGGGATATTTTGATTGGTCTCTTTTAAAAAAAAAAGTAAAACGATGGGAATTAGAAAATTTTGCGATACAGATGCGCAGTTTTTATTTGGGGCCATCAGAATACCTGCTGAGACATTTCACAGGACATGGCCAGGACTTTATCACACAGTCATCATACTTTCAAGAGGGACATAAAACTGACTGCTCATACAGCCTGTGCTGTGGTGCTTTAATGCCTGACAATCTTTACTAAAATAGAATCTTAAGGTCCATATGGTCACAATAATTTTATAATTGTTAAAATGCATGAAAAACAATTGGCAATATTCCTCAGGTGGAGATTTTCAAACTTAATTCAATTGTCATCGGATGAAGATCATGACTGGCACATCTTGCAATGTCCTTCCGTCTTGAAATTCTTAGAAAGTTGTACATCCGAGTAAACATCCAACGTATATGATTATGGAGAAAGAGTGCGAATAAGAACAAAAAACGAAAACCACGCCAAAATTGGCCCTGCCACTACCCCACTGATTGAGGCTGTTATGTTGAAGACTCGCTAGACAAAACCCACAATACTTTGTTGTAAAGACCGGTAGTGTCTGCTAGACTGATTTAAGCACCTGATTTGAGAGAAAAGTTGAGCCAAGAGGACCGAACAATCAGTGGCGAGGCGTGAATGATCGATTTATCGATAGTTTCCCATTTGAAGCTATGGTGAAGAATCGACTATTAAGGTGTTCGTTGTGAACACCCTGTTTATCGATCCTTTTCCATTCGTTTAAATGGCAGATCAATCGATAAATCGCAAAGCACGCCACGCCACTGCGAACAATCACGATCGAGACGATTGGGAACTTTCTCCAAACACGGCCGATTTGGTCGCTAATGAGGTGAGCATTAAATTTAGGATAGAGGCTCTTTTTGCTGATATGAATCATTTTGAAGGAACATTTTTAAATAGATATTTAAAGTTCATACCTGCAATGAATGTGGATTTATGTACAATCATCATGATACGAGGTTGTGAGATTTGAGTAGTTTGGTGATTTTTCGAAAGTTATACAAGTTACAGTTACTATATCTGTAACTAAAACATCTTGCGTCTAAATTCTTACAAAACGCGCCGTGATATATAGGCAAAAAGTCAATTTGGCCCCTAAAAATTGAGCAAGATGAGCCACATGGCTCCTAAATCTTTAAGGCGAGTTTCGAACACTGGCCCGTAAGGACGACTTCTACGGCCGGCATTTATTTCAGTGAGATTAACTTGAAGAGGTTGTGACAGAAAATATTCAAGAAGCTCATAATACAGGGCCGAGGGAGGGTTCCTGCACAGGATCCAGTGAAACGGGCGCGGGCACAGCTCGGCGATAGATCAGATCAGTCTCCGGTCCCGATCTCGCGACCCCCTCCCCCCATCCTCATCGCAGACCGAAAGTTCGGAAGCCGCGACCGGAGCTCTTCCGAGTTCGAGCCCCGGTTCCCGGTGTTGCCAATCTCACTCTCCATGGCAGGGCTGCCGATCCGATTACCCATTTTTGAGACCACGATTAACCACCGGATTGTTTTTTCCTCACCGATTACCCACCGGTTCCAATTTTACTCACACTTTACCCACCGACTCCAGCTTTACCCACTTTTACCCACCAGCTTCAACTTTACCCACGTTTACCCACCAACAACACCCAACTTTAACCACGTTTACCCACCAGCTTCAACTTTACCCACCGATTACCCACCGTTTACCCACTGTTCACCCACCGTTTACCGCCAAATTTGAATTTTCTTACGGTTATTTCGTTGGATTTTAGTGAATAAGAAAATACCCACAGATTACCCACCGTTGCCTGGATTACCCACGAATTACCCATTTCCCACCAATTACCCACCGGAGTTCAAAATACTCACGAAATGGGCAATTGCCCACGAATCGGCAGCCCTGCTCCATGGATACAGATGCAGAGATTTATCCGATAGATTTGGCAACGATGCCTGCTCCTCGTGATCGATATTCCGGCCGTCCGATCGCTGTCGATAGGGCATCCTGGTGACCCGGAGCCTCCCGGAAATGCCCGGTCCCGATCGGGACGTGGGCTGGAGCGCCACTCGCCGGCTCCGGCGCCAAAAAACCGACTCGTTTCGTAACCGCGACAATGCATGTTCGGACCCTGCTAGACAATGCTCCGCTAACAACCCGTGAACAATAAAGAGATGCACGTTGCGGCCAACACTTTTCCTTGATCAATCGATGGATAAACACTAAACAGCATCTCTGGCTTCATTTTCGAGGGTGACCAGGACAGGCAGACCGCAGGTCCGAGATTAAGGATATTGATTGTATCTCTCACCCATTCTGCCGTGCTGAGGAAGAACACCGTATGAATCCTCGTGCGTTGCCAAATTGCTTTTGGTAAAATACGAAATTTCAGGAAAACTCGTGAAAATTTTCCATCCAGTTTTCCAGAGAATTTTTCTCGCAATGTGATCTAAAGTTTTAGAGAATTTCAAGTCAAAATATGCATTATTTGTTTCAAAAATTAATATTTTAAGAGGAGAAAAGTGGCACCTCTCGGGTGTGCTTACGGCGTTTTTACGGCGTTACGGCGTCTTCTAAACTTCTTTCCTGTCTCTTCATTCTGTTCTATCTCTCCTCCTCCTTCCTCTTCTTTTTCTTCTCTCCTTTCTCTTTTTCAACTCCTCTTTCTTTAAAGGAAACTTTTGATTTTCCCACTGGAAGCTGGGTATAGGTTGGAATAATCCGGCAATAACTTGTGGGGAATATACTTTTGTCAATGCCGTTATAATTGCGTATGGAGTACTTTCCATGCTTAATGACAAAGGAACTTTGAGTTCAGATCCACACAATTCCCTCCGTAAGGCATAATTGCTGTAGAAACCTGAGGACCACAGACACTGACAATGGTCTCTTTCCGCTCCTAAAGCAGTTAAAAATGAAAGCAATTTTAATGGAAGGAAAACAGACCTAGGTATGTCAATGGAATTAGCTGTACTTTTTTTTTTTTTCTGCAGTAATGAGCTTTTTGTCAGCTGAGCATAATTGTGGGGAAACCGTATCAAAAATTGGAATATGCCTCACTGCAAAACCATCATTAGTGCATGGGGTAAAAGCAACGTGGTTATTTGATACTATTCCCAGAGACAACAATCTTACTTGCGGATTGAAAAACTAAGTAAGGCAGTAATTTTCTGCCAGAAATATGTCGCCAAATTTCAACAAAAAGAGAGTTTTTAGACACTGGGAATTAAAAAAGAGGACCTCTGGTACGTAGACTCTTAAGTGAAGTCGTTTCATCAATTTTACTTATCTTTCCGCTCTAAAATTTTCAAAACTAAAAGGAAACGCAAAACACAATCTCAGAATAGAATAGATCTCGCCTCATTAAAAATATGTTCACTCCCTATTCAAAGATCTTTTTGCACTGCTTCAAGACCTTAAAAATAATTTTATTTAAACCTGTCTGAAGTCTAATAAATTATTCATAGTAACTGTCTATAATGGCTAACGACG